GCGGTACCTCACGGCCGATGATGCGGCGGCACTAAACGGCTGCAACTACAGCTCGGCGACTACTTCGTCAACGAGAAGCCCGACCTATCGCGGGCGATCGCCGAGCCGCCCTGGTCAGGGGTACCATCGACACCAGGCACCAGGCGCACATGAGCTTCGACCAGTGCCAACTGGTACTTCGAGATCGCCACCAGGGCATCTTGAAAAAGACCACAGGTCTTGTTTCCAACGCCTCGGCGGTGCTTAAGCAGTTCGTAAATTTCAGGTCACCAGCAAACACGCAAGTGCACGTCGAGGGCCCCAACAACACCGACGCCCAAGTCTGGCCATGGAAGGTGGCCGAACGGCTATGCCATTGCATCAGGGACCTACGCTGGCGCCTGCGACGACCGCATTTATCGAACTATATTCGTGAACGCGGCGTCGATGCGGCAGCCTTTCCAGCAGTGGCTTCAGTTGCCAGAGAGAGAGAGAGAGAGAGAGAGAGAGAGGCATATATATATATATATATATATATATACGGAGTGCCATGGTCGCTGCGCGCGCCCGCTACAAGTGCGGGGCGTGCTGGCGCAACGTGCGATCGGTTTCGCCCATGCACTCCCGAGACCTGGTCACCTGCCGGTTGCCTTGCAGCGCCCCGATCCACTGGGAATATGTTGGCTGCCGCGAGGGGACAGAACGCGACCGCCCAACACATGTCCACGAGCTCATGGTGCTTAAGCTCGCGGATCTTCATTCACGGCCGCGCCCACGCACTGGCCAACATCCACGAGCACCAGCACGAATTGGAGGACCACGCCCTACCAGCGATCAACAGGCTCAGCTACCTGCAGGAGCCGACCTCGGAGCAGCAGACGAGGCAGCATTGCCGCCATCACCTTCCAGCACGCCAGGAGCCAGCTCAATCTCCAGCGCTTGGTCCCAGGATAGTAGATCCAGCAACTGCGTTGATGGTCCACGACACGACTACGAGCCAGTCCATCAGCCGGCGCAGCACCGAGACCGACAGCGCCACGATCTGCCGACGTTTTTGCAGGCAACCCAACGCTTGCACACTGGACCCGCTTCCACATCGAAGCGCCACTACGAGCACTGCGCGGCGACTCGCACGAGGCACGAATGCGAGAGCTACGCAAAAGACATCGCCGGCGGCGGTACGGGAGGAAATGGCACGAGCACTGCGCGCAGCCACCATGGCACAAGCAACCCGTGACTTCATCCCTACAGTTGTCAACAAGTGTCGGGAGTACCGTAAGTGGCTCAGCGCGCCAAGCAGTTTCCGCACTACGCCCGTCGACGCGATTCACCCAGCATGTTCGTTGCGACATCTTGCGCTGCAAGGGTCGCATGAGAACCGCGCACGGGCGATGATTGATGATGACCCCTGACCCCCCTCTATTTTTACCATCCCCGTCCAGCAGGATTTAAGTGTGGAGATGGGCACGGAGGCCGAACATTAATCCGCGGGGCAAGTTGCGAATCGAAACTGCTATCATCTCATGGCGATTAGTCACAGCATCAACAACGCTGAGCATGGCCATGGTGGTCTCACCACACCAGCGTCGGCAATCGCGAGCGTGTGGCAGGTCTTTGGGGTTCTCACCAGTACAGTTTGCCCAAGTTACAAACGCGCGTCAGGGCCATGGGATTCTAATTTTCTCAACCCTTCCCAAATCAGGAACGCGTGGCAGGGCCACGGGGACCGATTGGGTTTTGATTGTACATGCGTTTTTCGAGCAGGCAGAGCATTGGAGTTAATTGCGTTTTTAGCGCATCCCCCACGCACTTCGTGGCCCTTCCTCCTCCTCCTCCTCCTGCTCCTCTGCCCCCGCAGCTGCCCAGGCCCGAGCTTCCCCGAGTCTTCGAGTTTCCAAGCTTTGGAGCCTCCTCGAGGCGCTAGGCCCCTTCGCCACAGGGGCATGCCGAACCTGCCCAGGAACGCGCGGATGCACGATCGGGCGCGCATCGCCGATGCATCGGCGATGCATCGCCGATTCGAGGTCGATGCCCCCCCAATGCCTACCCCCCCGCGTCGTTGCCCCTGAGTGCGTCGCGAGCCCCGGCCATGTCCCAAGCCGCCGAGCGCGCCTCGACGGCGAGCCTCCCCTTCGAGGACCTCAAGCAGGTGGTGGCCCAGAGCGCAAGCCCGAACTCGAACGAGAACCTCGAGCGAATGACCAAGCAGAACGTTGCAACTCGACAAGCTCACATTCATTGCTGACAAGATGGCGATCGCTGGGGGCGCCAGTGCCAATCGAGCGCGCAAGGCACGGATGCAGCGAGGATGACGGCCTGTATTTTTAAGGCCGAGAGCGCCTCGTGGTCAAGCAGCGCCCAGCAAGCCGCCTCGAGATGGCCTACAACGGCGGGCCTTTCCAAGAGCATCGAGTACTGCCACGTCTTCAACGAGAAGGACAGGCGCATCGAGCTGGCCGTGGCTTTGTTCTGCAAGACCTACTGCGAGAATGACGAGCACGTCTACGACGTCTTCGAGAACCACGGAGAGCCGCCCGAGAACCCCATTTCTGGCTCATGCCCAGCTTCAATGCCAAGATGCACGAGCTTGCCAAGAAGGACATCAAGCTCGGCGCCGAGAACGTCAAGAGCCTCACCCACGGCTCCTACACCGAGCGCGTCGGCAAGGCCCCCCCCGACATCCCCGCCGAGCTTCACCACCTCCACGACCGAGTGCTGCTGATTATCAAGAAGTTTGGGCCGTCGAAAAGTGGGACGAGGAGCCTTCCGGCGCGCATGCCGAGCTGCTCTTCGAGTTGATTCCGAGCAAGGCCAAGCAGCGCGTCATTTGGTGCCGCGAGAACGGCGCGGTCTCGAGCCGTGAAGAGGCCGCCATGGCCACCGCGCAAGCGGTCGTCAAGTGGCGTTGGGGAGTCAAGAGGACAGACGACATGATGCACGAGCTCCAGGAGTGGAGCTACCAGAACAAGCGCTCCAAGCTGGACTACTCGAGCGCCGTCAAGCAGCAGAAGATCGAGACGCGGCTTTTCAACCACACAGCAAGCTGAATTTCGAGACGCTCGCCGAGATCCATGCCGAGTACGACAAGGTCGCCATGAACTAGCGCGAGCCCGAGGGGAGCCAGGCCGACGCGAAGGCCGAGCCAGAGACCGCCGACAACAGGTTCATGCTTGCGGACGCCTGAGAGCCTGGCGCACGAGCGCCCCGAGCCAAGCGCTCCCAGTTTTTTCGCTACGAGGGCGCCTTTTCGAGTCACGCGCTCGAGCCCCATCTGCTTTTCAAGCTCCAAGTTCGAGAACGCGCGAGTGGCGTTCCAAGCTGCGGGGTTCTACTCCCCCTTCTCGCCGAGTGATCTTCGATCAAACATCAAGCAATCCAGCAGGCTCGATCCTCCATCCTCGGATCGAGGACCCGAGATCTTGATTCCGAGCATCTTCGAGCTTTTAGGATCCTAGATCCGAGGGCCGCCAGGCTGAGACTCGAAGATCTCGGGTTCGCAATCCGAGGATCGAGGATCGAGCCTCGGCGATCCCCGATGGTCACCGTCGCCGTCGCCGTCGCCAGGCCCTGGCCGCCATTAAGGAACCTCGATCCTCGGATCGAGGATCCGAGATCTTGTTTCCGTGCATCCCTGCGCGCCTTGGATCCTAGGGCCGAGGATCGCTGCTCGAGGATCGAGCCTCGGCGATAGTAGGTCGCCCTCGTCGCCGTCCTCGGGCCCGCGCTGCGATCGAGCAGGCTCGATCCTTCATCCTCGGATCGAGGGTCCGAGATCTTGGTTTTGAGCATCTGCGAGCACCGCGGATCCTAGATCCGAGGGTCGCCAAGCTTGGACTCGAAGATCTCGAGCTCGGACTCGGGGGCCGAGCCTCGGCGATAGTAGATCGCCCCCCTCGCCGCCCTCGGGCGCTCAGACCGCCATCGAGGAGGACCCCTCCTCCATCCTCGGGTCGAGGATCCGAGATCTTGGCCCCATGCGTCTCTGGGCGAATCGGATCCTAGATCCGAGGATCGCAGCGCGTGGGCTCGGAGATCTCGGGTTCGACATCCGAGGCTCGAGGGCCGAGCCGCGGCGATAGTTGGTAGATCGCCCCCCTCGCCGCCCTCGGGCGCTCCGGCCGCCGTCAGGGAGGCTCGACCCTCCATCCGCGGATTTGAGAATCCGAGATCTTGGTTCCAAGCATCTCTGAGCGCCTTGGATCCTACATCCGAGGATCGCAACGCTTGGGCTCGAAGATCTCGGGTTCGACATCCGCGGTTCGAGGGTCGAGCCTCGGCGAATGTCGATTTCCCTCGTCGCCGTCCTCGGGCCCGCACTGCCATCGAGCAGGCTCGATTCTCCATCCTTGGATCGGAGATGCGAGATCTTGGTCTGGAGCATCTGCGAGCACCGCGGATCCTATTTCCGACTATCGCTAAGCTTGGCCTCCAGGATCTTGGGTCTTCGATCCGAGGATCGACGCTTGAGCCTCGACACCTGGCGGTCACGCGCACGCGCACACACGCGCACACAAACAAACACACCAACGCACGCACGCGCGCACACACGCACGCACACACACACACGCACTCGCACACCCACACACTCGCACACTCTCACACACACACACACTCCCACACACGCCCACACACACTAACACACTCACTCACACACACACTCACGCACACAAAAGCAAAAACACAAACAACAGCAGCCACGACAGCAACAACAACCAGCAACACAGCAGCAACAGGCCCCAGCAACAAGACAAACAACCAGGGCACAAACAATAGCTGCACAAACAACAAACAGCAACAATACAAACAACAGTAGCACAAGAAACAACACAAACAACAAGAGCAACAAACAACCGTGGCCAATTCAGGCTCAAGCGTTCCAGGCCTGCTGAGGACGCAGCACTCCATGGCCGAGTCGGACAGTGACGATCGCCAGCTTTTTCGCCGAGCGGTCGGACGGCGAGATCGCGGCCTCGCCGATGTTCTTCGTCGAGCAGACGAAGGGCGACGAGCGGGCGCCAGAGGGCGCGCAGACCGAGAACTTCGAGAAGGTGAAGACCGAGGGCGCCTGCGAGCAGCACGGGGAGACACAGCCAACGCGCTGGGGGAGAACGCCGGCGAGCCCGAGAACAAGAGCAAGGCATCGCGGCCAACTTCGACTCCATGCTGGCCCGCGCCATTTTCGCGGGCAACGACCTCGCCCGCGCGGGCGGCGCTACGCCGTGTACCGCCGTCTTCGGCAGGCAGCCCTCCACGCTGTCACCTCTCGAAGCAGACGAGGAGCGCGACGGCGCCTGCGTCGGCGGAGCCGGGCCCGCTGCCGATGGCGAGGCGCGACCCAGCCGATTGCAGTGGCGCATCCGCGATATCGACCTGGAGCCAATTATTGGGGCCACTTCGATCGCCCGCGTCAATCGCGCCCTCCAGACACGCGCCACCGAGCGGAGATGGACGCTTCAACGTAGGGGGGCCAGGTGGAGATCCACTGGCCTCCTAGCACGAAGGACGCGCCAGGCTGCCCCGGCAATGTAATTTCTGTGGGCCTGGCCAGAGGCGAGGTCGCGGTCGCGTGCCGCAGCGCCGAGATGGTCTGCGCACTGCAGGGTGCACGGGCCCTCGTCGGTGTCGCCTCCAATTGCATGGGCACCGGCATGGCGCGATCACGCGTGGCCGCATGGCTTGGGATCGCGTGGAGGACTTCTTAGAGCATCGCGGCAGGCTCAGGAGCCAGGACCTTCGGCCATTGCGGGGACGAGCACGGCAAGCAGCTTACCGAGCAGGCTCGGCGACGCCCCGATGTCCTCGATGCTCTGCGCTACTTGTCCCGGAGATGTTTTCAGCAGCCTGGCGTTCGCGCCGCGCGCCTGGTGCGAGGTCAGAAATCTGCGGGCGACTGGCCAGGCCGCAACCGCTGTCTGGTCATCTGGCGACCGCCTCGAAGCCCCAGCGACGGTCGCCAGTTGCATTTAGGCGGCGCCATGGCGTCGTCGGCGAGCAGTCGAAGGGCGCTCGCAACTTCCAATTTGTCCTGGGTGGCGAACAGCTGCTGGCAGCCGAGGCCGGGCAGGGCCAGGGCCAGACGTTCGACGATGGCGTCATCGACGTTCCCGAGAGCGCCGCTAGCGTCACCGAGGGTTGTTCACCATCAGTCTTGCCGGCGATACCCGGAGTGGCCGACGGCGTCTTCTCCGGCCACGCCCAACAGGTGATGTCGGCAGCTTCGTGAGCTGCAGGAGCTGGATGGCCCCGACAGCCAGTTGATGGTCTGCGCTGCTGCCGAGCACGCGGCCGACAGCACGGGCCGCAGACCGCTCGACATCCACGCGCAGCGCCACCACTACCAGCGCGGCGCCGCTTTGGACGACTACGCCGAGCTTGAGGAGGATGAAGGAGGAAAGCGCGTGGACTTACACTTGGACCCATGAGTGCGATTCTGAGCTGCCACGAGGGCAACCACGTTGCCAGCGGGCCCACCGCTGCCGCGCTCAAGGTCTACGCCGCCGTCGAGACCGCGACAATCAAGCGCGACGCCACTCTGCTGACCAAAGAGGAGGCGTCGAGGTTGACCGCGGAGGTGGCCGCCGCCATCCTCTATGAGCTCACCATCCGGGTCAAGCGCAAGCGTTTCGAGCGACGCTCTCTCGCAGGCGCTTTGAACTCCCCGGCTTCCAGGAGCGCGTTCAAATGGATGCACCGAAAGGCGCAGGACGGCAAGACCGCCAGGGTCACCCGGCGCCGCGCGGCGCAGAGGGCCTCCGCGACATTGGCGCCGGAGCCCTAGAGACGTTCGCAGGCGCGTCGGAACGGGCGTCTCAGCGCAGTCTGTCCTCCGAGGCGGCGCGTCGCCCGGACAATGCGCGCGTCGCGATGGACGTCGAGTAAGCGCTCTTGCTCCAGGGCGAAGCGGTCGGAGAGGTGACTTTCACCCCGCCGCCCGGCAATTCGGCCATCCCCAGGCAGGGCCCCAGGCTGCGAGTCTTCCGACGAGCGGTCCGAGCGCCCTCGCTGCATCGAGCCGGGCACGGGCTGCAATGATGCGCCCGCGGCATCTTCGAAGCTCGCCATGGTCACGCGCTCGCCCGAGCGCAGCGCCAAGCCGACGCGGTGGGGCCCTGAGCTCGAGGTCAAGCACGAGGCGCCTGGCATTTGTGGTGCCGGCGTTTGAGGGGTAGTTGTCCTGCTGTCCAAGCACGCCCGCGATCTCAAGATCGCAGGGCGCAAGAAGCACGTCGACCGACTCATCGGCCACATCCAGAGCGTCTGCGGCAAAACGAAGGGTGATTACGACGATTTCCCTTAATGCGGCGCCCACTAGCACAGCAGCGCCGACGGCGCAGCGACGCTCGACCAGGGCGAGCCCATCGACGCTCTAATCCCCATGACGCACGTCGACCTGGTCAAGTCGAGGGCCGACTAGACAACCGGAGGTCCACTCCCAGACCTCCTTGTCTCTCTTCTCGGATCAGCTGCCTATGCGCTGCTCGCCCAACGCCGCGCTGCCGCCCACGTCGTCGCGCTGCGACGGGCCGTGAACGAGCTGCCTTTCAGGCGCAGCATGCAGCTCAACTCGATTGATCTGGCCACGCAGCAGATCGAAGCGCGCGTCGTCTGTTGGGCGATGGGGCGCGCGGGCCAAATCTGCGTCGAGGCGACGGCTCCGTTGCGCGCGAGGAGGATGCAGGATGCGCCGTGAGGCGCCGTGCACATGCGTCTGGGCAAGTGCCGCAGCGCTGGCAAACAGATCCGCCACTTGCGCGACGCTGTGGGCAGATCACGCAAGTTTGTGTAGATCGCCGTTCGGCCCCGAGCTGCTCGCGGCGCGTGGGGCGGCAGACGGTCCATAGGCGCGCCTCGTCGCCCTTCGCGAGACGGCGCCGGGGCCCCCTTCGGCAAACGAGCTGAGGAAGCTGAGGGAGATGGTTGTGGACGGCATGGCCGTCTTCTCTGCGCTGGCCGCGGGCCACGCGCGGCCGCCGCGCGAGAAACGCGTGGCAGGCCATCTGCGGCGGCAATCAGACCAGCTGCGCGCCAAACAGCTATCCACACGCTGTGGTGCGGCACCCGTAACATGATGGCCGACCCCATGACGAAGGTTGGCAGTGGCCGGGAGCTCATCTTCGATATCATGGAGGGGGGGCTCGCCAACGCACGCCCCACGGTGAGGTTGAGCGAGGGCCGCCACAAAAAAACAGTACCGAGCTCCAGCTACCGCAACTTCAACAAGGACGACGACGGGCGATCAATTCAGCGTCGCATGTCTCGATCATGTTCGCGACTGCGACACAGCACATCAAGAAGGTAAGTGCGAGGATGCTCGCGCGAGGCGGACTACATTCGCGAACGCGACGCAGTGCGACACACCAGTGAGTTGCTTCTTCGAGCTGCGTTCGAGAGGCAGCAGGTGTGTTGTCAGACCGCGCGCGGCGCTGCCAACTGTCTGCTTCATTGTAACAGAGTATAAGAAGCCTGGTCAGTAAAGTGGTTCCCTCTGCCGGCGCAGGTGCGGGCCGCGCGCTCGCCGCATCCCCCCTCCTCCTCCTCCTCCCTCCCCCTCCTCCGCCACAAGGCTTTCTCCGCGCTGGCAAAAAAAGTGTTGTCGATTCCATGTCACGGGTGTTGCTAGAAGTGCCCCTGACCCAAGGTGCCCCCAGGATTTCCATGGGAGGCCCCCGCGGCCCCCAGGGCACCCCATCACGAGGTCCAGAAGCCCCAGGGGCTCCAGAATTGAGCGAAAAGCTGGAGGCACCTTGGGCCAGGGGCACCTTTAGCGACCCCCGGATGTCATTGTTCCCCTCCTGAGCCAAGGTCCTTTTTCCGGCTCCCTTCGGGTAACCGGCAGCGTGTACTACGGCAGCGCGCAGGAAGGTGACATGACGGTTGCAGGAAAGCCCCACTTTCGCGCGGGATGGCGCAGGAAAGCGCTTCTTTCTGGCATCGGCCGAAATCCCCGCTTGTTGAGTGCAGTCGGGCTGCTGAGAAAAAAAGGAACGCTAAATAAGGAACGTCGCCTTTTTGCGGCTTCAGAAAAACCTGGGTGCACGAGAAGGGCTAGAGGAACAACCGCGGAAGGACGTAAGGAACATCGAGCCCCTTCCGAATCCATTCCTTAATTCAGCGTCTTGGCTGTACCCGTCAGGATGGCGTTGATCGCGATCAGCCGTTGATCGATCTCTTGCTGCCCTGTTTCCGTACGGCGCTCCAGAGAGGGACTCGCCGTTTGCGCGCCTCGCGCTCGGCGGAGGGCGCGGCGGAGGCCAGCGGAAGCGAGGCCGAGGCGTCATCGTGTTTGGAGTGGGGCTTCTGGAGTCGGCCGTGCGTCGTCCGTTGCTGGCCAGGGGCTCGCTTGGGCCGTCTTGGGGCCCGCATGGCCATTTTTAGGGGAACGAACAATGACGTAAACATAATTAAAAACTCGGAGGTCCGCGCGGATTTCTTGGACCCGCGCTGGACCGCCCTGGCGGCGCCTCCGGCGCCGCCCCTGCAGCGCTCCGCGCGCCAGGGAGGGGGGTCCAGAGCGGGTCCAAGAAATCCGCGCGGACCTCCAAGTTTTTATGTTTATGTAATTTTTCGTTCCACTGATTTGGTGGGTGCCTGGGGACCGTCATTGGGCCGTCTTGGATGCCTGTTGGGCCTTCGTGGGGTCCTCATGGGCGCTCGCCCCAGGAGAGATGTGTGCGGGGGGGGGAGCGAAGGGGGGGGGGGGGGAGGGGGGCAAAAACCCGACCCTCACAACTGGCGTTTGCGCAGCAGCTCTGGACGTTAACTGAACAGTCCTGCCTGGTTCGGGTCCATCGTTGGGCGCATTTGTTGGGAGGACCTCGTTTGCAGGGGACGCGTGCTATAAAAATGGTTCGTCCTTCCATGTTGGTGCCTCGTGTGGCGGGGACTTGGGGCGGGAGGGTACGGTGCAGCATCAGTGGCACTTGCTAGTTTTACTCTGGTGGTCGCTCCTTCTCTCCCGTGCGCTTAGCGTAGGATGGCAAGTCGAAAACGTCTCGTGGGGCCGGGCGACGGTGAGTAAGCTGTGTTCTGGGCCTGCTCGTGGGCGTCGTCGCCATTGGGATTCCATGACCGTGCTCTCCCACCGTTCCCATCGGCAGAAATTGTGGTGCCTTGATGGCTATCCCTTTGTGCTCTGTCTGAATCGTTCGCATGCGTTCTCCTCGTGCCCTTGTGGAGTGGGGGGCGGCGGCACAGGATGCGCCAGCGGCCCCGCCTGCGGCCCCGGATACTCGGAGGGCGTCGTGGTCGAGTGGAGCGAGCGGGGCTTTGGCTTCCTCGTCTTCCAGGACGGGCGCCGCGCCTACGTGCACCACTCCTCGATCCACGCGCCGTCCGGCGACAGGAAGAACCTGAACCTCACCGTTGGCGAGACGGTGGAGTGCATGCTGAACGAGGATCTGCCGTCGCACCCCGGCAAGTGGGCCGCGGTCAATGTCTGGCGCAAGTCGGAGATCATCCTCGCGAAGGCCTCTGGCAACTTCCCTCCGGCGGGCGGCGCCATGGCCAGCGGCATGCCGCCACCGCCCGCCGCCATCGAGGATCGCCCGTGCCAGGACGGCCCACCACAGGGCGTCACGCCGCCGCAGCCGATGCCGGAGATGCCTGCCGCAAAGCCACCGTCGCCCTTGGACACCTCGCCTTTCGCCGACAACGCCAGCGCCCTTACGGCCAAGTTCGGCTTGCCGAAGCATTCCGCCACAATTGGCGAGCGCCTAGAAGGCACAGTCGTGGAGTGGAGCAATCGCGGTTTCGGCTTCGTCCTGTTCGGCGATGCGCGCGCGTACGTGCACACCTCGAACTGCGAGAGGGGGAGCGACTTGAGGGAGGGGGAGAGGGTCACCGGAGTGTTGACGGAAGACACCACGCGCCCTGGCAAGCTTGCGGCCGTAGACGTGCGCAGGGGTACCCTCGCGGATTGCAACGGCCCCAGCGGCGGGTCCAGGTTCAGCGACGGCATGGGCAAGGGCTGCAAGGGCGACGGCTGCATGGGCGGAGGCTGCGGGATGGGCAAGGGCGACGGCTGCATGGGCGGAGGCTGCGGGATGGGCGGCATGGGCGGAGGCTGCGGCATGGGCGGCTGCGGTATGGGCGGCTGCGGTATAGGCGACGGCTGCGGGATGGGCGCATGCGGCATGGGCGGCTGTGGGATGGGCGGCTGCGGCATGAACGGCTGCGGCATGGGCGGCTGCGGCATGAACGGCTGCGGCGGTTGCGGCGGCTGCGGCATGAGCGGTTGCGACATGGGTGGCTGCGGCATGGGAGGCATGGGCGGCTGCGGAATGGGCGGCTGCGGCATGGGCTGCGGGGGCTGCGGGATGCAGGGAGCAGAAACGCCACGCACACCCCAATCTCGTGGAGGGAACACGAGGGAGTGGGGGAGGAGTGACACCAGAACATCCTTATCCACCTCCTCGGAGTCGTACCCCGGGAACCCGAGGACCTCTCGAGGTTCGTTGGATGGGTATATGCCCGGCCTTGGGGGCGGGAAATTGTCCGCATCCACCACTCCCCAGGGATCTGGTGCACGACTCCAGCAGCTGTGGTCTGGGACTGCAAAGAGGGGGGTGATGACTAGGGGTGGGTGGACATCATGGCGTGGGCCATGATGTTCCCTTAGATTTCATGGCGCCTCTTCTTTTCTCATTACGTCCCTGGCCCCCCCCCCCTGGGCCGCCCACATGCCGCCGGCCGTGATTTGCGCACCCCCGTCTTGGCCGCCCCCGATGTGGATGCGCACAAGGAGCCAGCTCGCTATCAGGAGCCCCACCGAAATCTTTGGTGCCCCGACGGCCCCCAGGCCCGGGCCCCCCTCGAGAATGGAGGACCCCTTTGCAGGGCCTAACTCGAGACGATCCATCCGATTCGACATCGAATTCGGCCCGCTCGATCCGATTCGATTCTGCTCACTTTTAGTCGGGCGTGTCCCTCTACAGGAGGAACATTAAAAAATAACTAGTCCACAAATAGTCTGGGGACGATGTTCCGACAATTTTCTGACCATTTTTGAATTGTTTTGGCTATTCTTTATTTTTCGTCAAAAATCCCCCGATGCGGCGCGATATTTGCATGGCGTCGTTGTGCATCTTGGCGCGAAGGTCCGACTCGATTTCAAATCCGTGCCGATGCGGCCCGATCCGCCGAACACTCTGATTCGATCCGATGTGCAATGCCGACTGGCCCTGCTCGGACAAGTCTAGAATCGAGATAAATCCGTTCCAGAGCGTTCCGGAGCACTCTCAGAGCGTGCCGAAACGCTCTGAAGCGGCCGCGTCGCCTGATGCGTCCTCCAAACCCGCTGATTCTCAGAGATGTCCGATTTACATCGGCCCGAGGTTGTCTCGATGGAGCTTTCGTCTTGCCTGCCCTCTCGGAGATCCGGGGCCCCGTGCCAGGCCCGAGGGCGGCGAGAGGCGTGCCGGTAGACTTCTCGTGGCCAGGCCTCTGGCCGCGCGCCCCTCTGGGGGCGCTGGTGGCGCTGATCGGCGGCGCGCAGGGTGGGGGGTGTCCTCCTCCTCCTCCTCCTCCCCTCCTCCTCCCCCTCCTCCTCCTCCTCCTCCTCCTCCTTGTCCTCCTCCTCCTCCTCCCCCCTCCTCCTCCTCCTCCTCCTCCTCCTCCCCCTCCTCCTCCTCCTCCTCCTCCTCCACAATTACTCAATATGAATACTACTCTCCCTCTTCCCCTGATGGCGTGCAGGGAATATTCGACCCCCCCCCCGCGAACTGCTTTTTTACACAGGATTCCCGTGAGTTGGGTTTTCGCCTGCGTTTTTTTTAAATGCTGCTCTCGCTGAGGCGCGGGCCTCATTTCTGCTCCCGAATCGTTCCGAATCGTGCTCCCGCTGCAGCGTGGGCCTCGTTTTCGGATGGGTGTTTTGCCTCCGTCGTTCAGGCGCGCCCATCCGCCCGCCACCACCGCGCCGCACCACGCCCCGCCCCGCCGCACGCACACCCACCGCCACTTCCACCCACGCACGCACGCACGCACGCACGCGCACTACCACCGCGCACCGCCACCACCACCGCACTACCCCACCCACCACCACCACGCTACACCGCGTCACACCACATCACACGCGCGCACACACAGACACACACGCACGCACGCACGCACGCACGCACGCACGCACGCACGCACGCGCACGCACGCACGCACACACACACACACACACACACACACACACACACACACACACACACACACACACACACACACACACACACACACACACCACCACCGCCACCACCACCACCACCGCCATCACGCACGTACGCACCTGGCCCACCACCAAACCACCAAGACGCCACACCACGTCACACCACAGCACACGCGCACACACACACACACACATACACACCACCACCACAACAACCACAACCACGCACACACGCACGCACGCACGCGCACCACCACCCACTACGCACACGCGCGCAGAGCCACAGGTCCGCTACGACACGCGTCCGCGGATAGAGAAAATCAACGCCATGGTAAGGGATGGGAGGGAGGGGTAGGATGTCAGATGTTGACGCGAGCGCACCTAACTTGTCCTCCTCCTCCTCCTCCTCCTCCTCCTCCTCCTCCTCCTCCTCCTCCTCCTCCTCCTCCTCCTCCCGTCACCCCCCTCACTTTTGCACGCTCCTCACACGTTTCGGTGCAGGCCTCCCAGACGGGGGGCTCCGAGCATCCCCTTCCGCTCCCCGTGAAGCAAGGCGCGGGCACCGCGGGGCGCGGGCGGCCCAGGCGAGGCGAGGCCAGGGAGGAGCGAGTCCGTGCCCCCCCTGTGGCCCGCGCCCCAGCCCCTTGGCTCTGGGCTAAGTCGGGCGTGTCCCTCTACAGGAGGAATATTCAGAGGTAGTCAAACCAAAACTCTGGGGACGATGTTTCGACTGGGTTTGCCTATCGTCGAGCATGTTTCGCGTATTTGATTATTTTCCCGTAATCCGCTTGTAGGAGGACATGCCCGACCTGATTCTAGGCCTCCCAGATGGGGTCCGAGTAGATGGGGTCGGAGGATCGCGCCACATCGCCGATGTATCGGCGATGCGGCTCGATGTGGAGCCCGAGTTTCTCCACGCCGACGGCGCCGATGCGTCGCCGACGTCGCTATTGAATCGCCAATGCATCGCCGATGCATCGGCATCGGCGATGCGGAGCGATCCTCCGACCCCATCTACGGACACCATCTAGGACCGGAAGGACGCGTGGGCAGAAGAGCGCGCGATATCATAAACAACGGATAAGAAGCATAACATAAGCATAATATGTCAGATACTTCCTATTGCAGGCTTCGGGACACAACAAACAACATACACTTTGTATCTCGGAGGTCTGCGCGGATTTGTCGGATCTGCGTTGGGCCCCCGTGGCGGCTTTGTGGCGCCGCCTCTGGCGTGCTCCGCGCGCCAGGGAGGGAGGCCCATTGCCGGTCCAAGAAATTGTATTCTCGCAGGCCTCCGAAAGTTCACGTGTATGCAGTTCTTCCTTACTCTAGCGGAGGCAGGCGTTGGGTGGGGGGGGGGCATCTCAGAGAGGATCGGAGCCTCCTGCAGCCAAGGAAACGCAATACAGTCAACCATGATAGTAAGAATGGGCAACTTTCCGAAGGGTACCCTCGCATCCTCGCCTCCTCGGTCCATCCTTCGCCGCTTTCGTCGGCCGCGCCCCGCTCGAATAGCTTCGAAATGGGCGTCCAAGGCCCTTGCATCCTTATCGCGCATCCTTATTATACTGGTTGACTGTGAGCAGGGATTCCAGGCGCGCGAGTTTGTGACGGCCCCCGCTTCCAGACAGGAACCAGCGCGCCGTGGCCGGGTCTTGCGGCATTAGTTGCACGTTTCGGGGGAGCGGCAGGGGTCGACTTGAACGGTGTTTTGGCGATTCGGTGGGAAGTTTTCGTTTCGATTTCGTTTTGCGGTAAAGGCGAATTGAAGACAAAACGATGGAAAACAAAACAAAACGAAAACGAAACATCGTTTAGGTTCAGCCCTGTGGAGCGGTATTTGCCCCCCCACGCCCACGTGCCAAATCTATGGAACCGTAAGTCCTCCACGTTATCTAGGCCTCCCAAATGGGGTCCGAGTAGATGGGGTCGGAGGATCGCGCCGCATCGACGATGCATTGCCGATGCGGCTCGATGTGGAGCCAGAGTTTCTCCACGCCGATGCATCGCCGACGTCACCGATGTATCGCCAATGCATCGGCAATGCATCGGCGATGCATTGGCGATGCGGCGCGATCCTCCAACCCACCTGCTCGGATCCCATCTGGGAGGCCTCTACATACTAGCGTATGCCTAAGACAGTCCAGGCTGTGGTTCAGGAGGTGATCGTTTTCTTATTCATTGTTTTGTCGATCGGCACGGGCCCTCGCACCCCCCCCTCCCCCCCTACCCATGGAGTAGATTTTGATTGTTGTTGGCGCCTGTTTCGAGCAGGTGGAGTCTCCCCTCATGGGACCCACTGCTGCAAACAGTCGAACTAAGCAGAGGTCTGGAGGCAGACCCCCTCCCCATCCCCCCCCTTCCGCCCAATGTCGAACCGCTGAATAAGAAAACGTTCACGAGTGGCTCTGATTTTCAGGCCGCTCCTTGAGCTAGGTCGGGGGACATATTCGTGGCGGAGGCCCGCAGTGGTCACAGAGGCCCCTTCGTTGCTTGTTCGACCTTCTTCAAGCACCATGGCTGGTGTCGGTTCCACGTCTCAGGCGATCGCAAACGTGGATCAAGGGGCGTGGATTAGCGACGGGCCCCGCCCGTTTACATGGGAAATCGCAGAGTTCCGCCGCCGAGCGAGGCGGCACCGGCCGCATTTTGAGGAGGGCAACTCCCCCGATCCATGGATATGGCGAACGCGCGCCAAATCCATGGAGCGTTGATCCATGTTTGCGCGCCCCCGAACGTAAGAGTGACCCGCTCGCTGGAGTGACCTTTGGCGTGGGCCAGCTAGGGTCCCCTGATCGTTGCATGCGATGCGAGTGCAGCGGCTTGCGCGCTTGGGATTGGTCCGCCCGCGTCCCTCTAAAGCCCTTTCGCCTATGGTCATTATTGTGTGTAGCCAGTCTAAGAAGGTTTCTTCACGTCCGTTCTCGTCCGCGCTTCTCTTTCACCCTGTCAGGCACGCGGCGTCGTAGTTGGAGTCGCCACTCGTCCAACCATGTGTGCTTCAGGATCTTACGTATATGGAAACACGCGCTGCGAATGAAAGGAAGCCTGACTTCTCAGGAAAGCAGTGGTGCTTCTGAGAATCGGCGGAGAGCGGGGGGGGGAAGTGAGAAGGAGAAGGCCTTCTCGGAAGGCTCGGAAGTCACCCGGCCTCCTGAGAAGTTTTCCAAGCCTCTCGGAGACACAGACAGCTTCCGAGAAGGCGTGAGGGCTTCTGAGAAGCCCCACCGCGTGCTGAGAAGACCTTCTCCTTCTCATTTTTCCCTCCTCGCTCGCCGCCGAGAGGAGGAGAAGGAAGAGGAGGAGGAGGGAGAGGAGGAGGAGGAGGAAGAGGAGGAGGAGGGAGAGGAGGAGGAGGAGGAGGAGGAGGAGGAGGAGGAGGAGGAGGAGGAGGAGCTTGCGAGTGAGAGAAAGTCAGACTTCTTCGAAGGCATTGGTGCTTCTGAATAGCCCCCCGCTCTTTAAACCATCTACGCGGCGCAGACAACCAATGCCCACGTCATCACGACGCGAGCCTGCCCTGCTCGCTTCCGCACCCCGCCGGTGCCCAAGGCAGGCACTGCCGCTCCCCCCCAGGCCTCCCAGATGGGGTCCGAGCAGATGGGGTCGGAGGATCGCGCCGCATCGCCGATGCAATGCCGATGCATCGGGAGGGAAAACCACCCGGACTGGACAATTCTCGTTTCCTAAACGGCCCTGGGTGTTTCTGAACAGCCCTGCCCTGTTCGATCCCTTCTTTGGGCGCGTTCACTAGACGACTTGCGCGTGTCGGGGTGATTGTGGGGGTGGATTTCTGTTGACTTCTGGCCAATGCGGCTCGATGGGGAGCCCGATTTGCTCCACGCCTTATGACGTTCCAACCTACTTTAGCCTTGATCACCAGAGATAATTTCGAGCACCAGAAAAGTACCCACAAACTCGAGGGGCTTCACGTGTCGGGCCCCGGGAGACACTCGTCCGACACTGTTCCCACACTGTGTCGACACTCTGTCGACACTTTTCCGGGTGCTCGAACCTCTTCCTGGGCTGTGGCCCCTCAGGTACGATGGGGAGCAACATCATCCGCGCTGAGGGCGGCGATGCGCAGCGGACGCCGCCGATGCGTCGGCGAAGGGGTGCGGCCCTCCGACCCTCCCCTGTTCTGGGAGGCCTGTCGCCTCGCATTAGGTCGGGCCTGTCCCTCCACCGGGGGGGATGTCCAAAAATAGTCAAAAAAAATAGCCTGGGGGCTATCTCTTTCTTTTTTTTGAGCGTTTTTGGGAATACGTTTTGGGCATGTTTTATTTGTCGTCCAACATCGGCCTGTGGGGGGACAGGCCCGACTCAAGCCTCGCAGGATGGACGCGGGCTGCGGGATGGGGGGCTGCGACGGCGGAGGCCATCGGGCAGCAAACACCGGCATCAACAGACTCTGGGTTCCTTAACTCAGGGGCAACGATAGGGGGGGATGGGCATAGGGGGGGATGCATCGAACCCCAATCGCCCATTGATCGCCCGTAGGGGCCCGATAGCCCCAACCTGCCCAGGAAGGCGCGGATTCACCATCGGAGGCCTATAGCCGATCTATCGATGATGTATCGTCGATTCCAGGCCGATGCATCCTCCCCTATGCCCATGCCCCCCTATCGTTGCCCCTCATTAACAAGCGTGCGGCGGGTACCCCCCCGACGGGGGTCAACCCCGCCTCGTCGTCGCGCCGCGACAGGGGTCGGAGCGCCTTCGGCTCGCGGTGGCTGCCCGCGACGGGGGTCAATGTGGGGCTGTCGGCGGGGGTGTGGCCCCCCGCGACGCTGATTCAGAAACTCGGAATAGCTACTCGAAGGTACTCGCGGACACTTTGGATCGAGGGCCCCCACGAGGGTGCGGAGTTGGGCGCGCTTCGCGCGGTCTGGACGACTTCAGAGCGAGGCGCGCGTCCTTCATCCTCCTCCTGTCCCGGGGGGCGGGGCGGCGCGAAAGCGCGACAGAACCGCGTTTCAAACTGGAGGTAGGAAAGGGATATGATACAACGGGGCGTGGTGTGTTAATTTCATGTAAAGGGGGCTCCGGCGATGTTATTTATCGCAGAACGCATCGCCATGTCCACGATTGGCACCATACCCTCAAATGCCGCCCCCTTTCCGACCTCCAGAGAGTTTCGCGGAACGCGAAGCGCGAAGACGGTCGTCCTGGCTTCTCGACGGCCCACGCGGACATCTTGGATCGTCGGTGGCCCCCCCCTCCCCCAGCGGGACTTCCAACCTCTGCCCCTGGCGCGCGGAGCGCGCCGGGGAGGTGGGCCAACGCAGACCCAAGAAGTCCGCTCGGACCTCGGATAGTCAATTCGGGGGCGGCCAAGGGGGGGGGACTACGGGGGCGGGGATGGATATCATGGCGTGGGCCATGGTATTTCCTCAGATTTCGTGGCGCCTGTTCTTGTCTCATTACGTCCCTGGCGCCCCCCCCCCTGGGCCGCACACATGCCGCCAGCCATGATTTGCCCCCCCCCTTCTGGACGCCCCCTTCTTGGCCGCCCCCGATGGATGTTCATGCCTTTTTTGTTGTCCCGCCAGGCAAGGGCGCCGACTTCGGCTGCAAGGGCGGAGACCCGTGCGGCAAGGGCCGAGAGGTCAAGTGCCTCGGCGGGAGCGAGAGGCGGCCGCCGCTCATCTTTGAGGCTGGCGACTGGTTCGAGGGGGTCGTCGCCGACTGGCAGAAGCGAGGCTCCCCCAGGAGGAGCAGGAGGTGGAGGAGGAGGAGGAAGAGGAGGAGCTGGAGGGGGAGGGGGAGGAGGAGGAGGAGGCATTCCCCGCCCGCCTGCCTCAGAGGAGGAAAAGGCATCGATACCTCGAAGAAGAGGGGGGGAGAAAAAACAAACGACAGCTATAAACGTGTGGCGCTGCGCGCAGATTTCTTGGCTCCGCGCTGGGCCCCCCCGGCGGCGCCGCCCCTGGCGCGCTCCGCGCGCCAGGGAGGGGGGTCCAGCGCAGATCCAAGAAATTCGCGCGGAGCGCCAGGAGTTATGCTTATGCAGCTGTTTCTTCTTCTACCCATCCCCCCCCCTCAGAGGAGGAAAAGACACCGATACCGTCACCCTGGCGTCGCTTTCGCATTTTGGGGGGCCCATCTGAGAGGCCCTCCTCGCCACCGGAGGATTCGCCTCGAAGTTCTTCCTCTCCTCCACTCCCTTCCCCACTCCTTCGCTTCACTCTCCTCCTCCCCATCCCCCCTCCAATATCCCCCGTCGGTTTTTCGGCTTCCCCACGGCGCTTCCGCACCCGCACCCCCTCCCCCAATCCTAGACTTACGTCGGGCGTGTCTCTCTACAGGAGGAATGTTCAAACATAGGAAAAATAGTATGGGGACGTTTGTTTGACTATTTGTGAATATTTGTAATAATTGTTTTGTGTGTTTGTGTTTGAATTGTTCGTCCCAAATCCGCCTGTAGGTGGACGTGCCCGACCTATTGATCCTCGACCCCCCATGCTTCGCCTCTTCCTCCAGTCCAGCGATGGTCTCGCTCGCCAGAGGCTGAAATTCCACGCCTCGGCATGCCGACAGAGGTCGCGTAGGCTTAAGTCGGGCGTGTCCCTCCACAGGAGGAATACTCAACAATGTTCAAGAAATAGTCCGGGGACGATTATTCTACTATGTTTGGTTATTGCGGAGTATTGTTCACTGTTTTTAATTGTTCACGCAACATCCGCCTGTAGGGGGACATTCCCGACCTAAGCGTAGGCAGAGAGAGCATTTACCAGTAGTCTAAGTCTACTACCCAATCAGCCGATTGCCAACTGACAGCATGCCCCGGATAACAAAGCATCCCCCTTTAAGACCTGAGTGTTGATCATCTCCGGCCAATGCAGTTGTGGTCGGCGGTAGGAGCGGCGGGGCCGAGTTTCTATCACCGTGGAAGGTACGAATCGCAACGGTCATCGAATACGATTACTTTTGTCATATTCTTCCACCGCTACTACGAATGCTTTTTTTTTATATTATAATTACAACTATTGTTATTACTACTACTGCTACTACTACTATTACTATTACTACTATTACTACTACTACTACTACTACTACTACTACTACTACTACTACTACTACTACTACTACTACTACTACTACTAGTACTAGTACTACTACTACTGCTACTACTACTACTACTACTACTACTACTACTACTACTACTACTACTACTACTACTACTACGACTAGTATTACCACATCATCATTAATCTCAGTCTCATCAAGTAATACGAATCCGCTATTATCTTCCCTCCCTCTCACGTGCGAACTGTTTTTTCTGTTTGGGCGGTTGTATCGCTGGAAAGTGCCCGAGATGCCCCCTTCCACACATGTGGACTTGAACACATTCTCTGCTTTGATCGGTTTTTCAAACGGAATGTGGTAGGTTTGCAAATATGTTCCTCTTGAATTCCCTCGAACCCTCTTCCCCCGTCCTCCCTCCCCATGCAACAACAAATTTAACAACAACTACGACTACTACCGCTACTACTACGGGTACAACTATTACGACTACGACGGCTACTACTACTACTACTGCTACTACTACTACTACTACTACTACTACTACTACTACTGCGACTATGGCTACTACTTCTACGCCTAGTACTACAACTACTATTGCTACTGCCACTGCTAGTACGAGTAATACGACTACTACTACTACGACTACTACTACTACTACTACTACTACTACGACTACTACCACTACTACGACTAGTACCACCACTACTACGACTACGACTACTACTCTTACGAATCTTCCTACTACTACTACTACGGCTACTGCTACTACTACTACTACTACTACTACTACTACTACTACTACTACTACTACTACGACTACTACCGTAATTAGTACTACAACCACTACTACCACTACGACATTTACTATTACCCTGAACTTGTTACTCTCAACGGTAGTACGACTACTACTACGATTACTATTGCTGCTAGTACGACTACTATTACGACTACTACCATTATTGCTACTACTACGACTACTTTTACTAGTATTACTCGTATATTTACTACTACTACGATTACTACTACTACTACTACTACTACTACTACTACTGCTACTGCTACTGCTACAGCTCTTACTACTACCACTATTATTTTGTTACTACTACTACTACTACTACTACTACTACTACTACTACTACTACTATTACTACTACCATTCTCTCTACTACTACGACTACTACTACTACTACTACTACTACTGCTACTACTACTACTACTACTACCACTACTACTACTACCTACTACTACTACACTACTACTACTACTACTACTACTACTACTACTACTACTACTACTACTACTACTACTACTACTACTACTACTACTACTACTACTACTACTACTACTACTACTACTACTACTACTACTACTGCTGCTGCTGCTGCTGCTGCTGCTGCTGCTGCTGCTGCTTACACGGCAACTAGTGCGACTACTCATAGTACGACTACGACTGTTATTACGACTGCTACTACTACGACGACGACTACTACTACGACTGGTACCGTTACTACTACTACGACTACTACTACTACTGCTGCTATTACTATTTCTACTACAACTACTACAACTACTACAACTACTACTACTACTACTACTACTGCTACTACTACTACTACTACTACTACTACTACTACGATTACTACGACTATTGCGACTACTACGACTACTACGGCTACTACTACTACTGCCAGGGTTGTCCGGGGAGTTTGTTCCACCTAAAGAGGGTGTTGAGGGTGTTGTGGTTTTGGTTCGGGTTTGTGAACGCGCGCGCAAAAGAACATGAACCTAAGGGAGTCCAAATAGATAGGAGGACGAGAGGGGGATGGGAGGAGGATAGAAGGCGGACGAGAGCAGGACGGGAGGAGACCGGGAGGAGCAAAATCAAGCAAGCGCAAGCAAGCAAACGGAAGCAAGCAAGCGCAAGCGAGCAATAACAAGCAAGCAAGAGCCAGCGATGAAGTGCAAGCAAGCAATGGCAAGCAAGAGCAAGCAAGCGAGAGCAAACACGCAAGAGCAAGCAAACACGTGCGATTGGAAGAAGGGGGAGCCATTGGAAAGGGGGGGGGGGCTGAAGACCAACTTATGATGAGCTAGGACGTATAGTGCAAGCCTATTTTGAGGATTCCAAAGGACGTCCTATGGAAAATTGATCGCCTCTGTATTGCATTGGGCAGCAAATTGCCATGCAGAAGTTGAATACGGTTCCTTGTGGACAGTGGAGCGCCTCTGGATCCCGCAGGACAAGCAAGCAGATTCCAACATATAATTGTCTTAAGAATGCTGGTTGAAAGAAGGACGCCTCTGGATTCAAGAGAGAAAATTCTTATATAGAGCTC